TTTCTTTTGATACGAATATTTTTTATTTACTTCATAGATAAAGAATGGGTCATCAATTTCATTGAAATTATACCTTGTCCACTACCCTATTGCTTTTTTTTTTTTTTTTTTTTTTTTTTTTTTTTTTTTTTTTTTTTTTTTTTTTTTTTTTTTTTTTTTTTTTTTTTTTTTGTTATAGTATACTTCAACAGATCTAGATACAGATAAGTGAAGATAAATACTTTAATAAGCAACACATTTTCGAAACAATTATTTGCATAAATGAATCTCTAGTAGGTATCTGCACCTATTTTCCCGAACTGAAATTGTGGATTTAACTGCACGCGATTCACTGTAATTTGCGCCAGAAGTCATGCCACAGCGGATATGGAACGAATTTGTAATATCAAAGGGATAGAAAATTGATTTAGTTGGCTTCTATATGTAGAGCGATAAATCTCATACTCGTGCAAGGTCTAAAATTAACGCAAAATTATTTGAATTAATGTAAATTCGCAACCTTTTCAAAATGCGGCAAAGAAAAAAACGAATAATTGAATTGAATAGTTATATTTTTGGTTTAAATATAAGCCTGAGTTAGTTTCCTAGATCCTGTACCAATCTTACTTTATCATTCATCTACATTACCTAGGAAGTTCTGACAGGAGAATGACAGTCTGATAATATAAGGTCTTAATAGCATGATAACTATCTGTATTTAAGAATCAAACAATAAAGTTGAGTAAATAATTATAAAAACTTGAAAAAACATTGTCAAAGTTTTCCTCACACTGCCAGATTCTCAAATGGTATCTTGATACAATGTAATATAGTAACGTGTGATTACATTGAGGCTGCTTCTTTTGAGAACAATATTCGCAGTCGTCTTGTTTTTAGATTTTTTTTTGTATGACGGGCGTTTAGGTAATAGATCACTCACACAGCGACCTAGATAGGTCTATCGAGCCTCCGCTTGTCTAGTAGATTTCCAGGTTGTGACTTTTCGCGAATCTCATAATTTTTCTGGGATTGGGTCTTTTAACATTCGTAGCAGTCCTATACATAATGTATATGACTGCCCCAGATGAATAAGCCTTCTGGTGACAAAACGCTTCGTATTTGCAGAGTATATGTCCGGCAGATTCGATGTTTCTTTGCAGAAGCGGCAAAGGTGCGAGTGCGCATATCCGTAAAAAAAAAAAAAAAGGTCTGATTCAGCTTTTCCCCACATTTTTTAGATGGTAGCCAAGAGGGCAGTGATCGGTGAGGACGCTCATTATGAGTATTATTGCTGAGTTCAAGTAGTTCGTTAGCCTTTGTTGACCGTAACGAGATGATTTGCTGCACCTGTCTAAGTCCTGGAATCTTGTTCCAGTGGAAGGCTTGTTGTGTTTCTTCCCATATTTTGAGTTCAATCCTCACATGGCTTTTTGTCAGGCCAAAGAAGGATTCTGGACTTGGAAATGGTGACGTGGCGCCCTCTCTTACGAGCCGATCAGCCATCTCATTTTCTTCTATATTTTGGTGCCCTGGTACCCATAATACATAGAGTGACTCTATTGCGGTTGGCCAGTTGATTTAGAAGTTGCTGACAGTCCTATACTAGTCTGGACTTAGTGACAAAGCTGTTAGGAGCTTCAAGTGCTGCCTGACTATCGGAATTGACAAAAATTCTTGTACCTCGTAGATCAATTTCAAGACACTTTCTAGCATAGAGTTCTATCGCAAACGTTTCCGCTTGGAATATGGTGGGATTTTTTCCCAAGGCTGCCGATAGCCTGCAGTTTGGGCCACTGCTACCATAAATATTTTCTATTCAGTTTTTTATTTTCTATCGATAAGATTTTTTTGATTTGAGAAAAATGTATTAACGAGTCAATTCTGTGCACATCTGTAAGCAAATCTATAAATTTCCATAAGCCTATAGACATTTACTGTATTCCTTTTATACATCGAGTTACACCGAACGAGCTCCTCGGAGTCACTCCAAAACACTCAATTCAGATTTTTTATCAATATTTTTTAATATTAACATTACCGTCATTTCCTAAAAGGGCTTCTTGCACCCCCGCAAATTTGGTGCATCAGGGGAAAGGGGGATGCACTATGAGCGACTCGAGTGCTTAACGCACTTTTGAAAGGAACGTTCAAGCTTTTGACATCGAGCAGCTCCGAGTAACTCAACGGGTTAAAGGAATACAGTAATTGCAAAACGCATCGATTGCCAAAAACTTCATCGGAAATATTTACGATCCTATAATATATTTTGTAATCTACAGGACGTGCAGAATTACAAATTGTCTTTAGGCAGCTTTAGGCTTATAGAAATTTATATAATTGCTTACAGATGTGTACAGAATTGAACCATAAATATAAAAGAAGACTTGACGTATTTTTTTTTTGCACCCCCCCCCCCCCCCTTGGACAATTTTCTGCCGGCGCCCATGATACTGGTCAATTAACTCCATGTAATTTTGCAAATATGACTATGACTCAAGTATCAAAAGGGTTACATTGAATTTACCAATATAGTCCAGTAATGGGTTGAGTTTACTTTTCAGATTTCTAACCATAATACCTTTTTAATTCTATTATACATATTCTGGATAGTTTCTAGATTGGATATCTTTCAACATCACCATTTAAATTATTTTTTCTACAGTCTAGCGCCCTGTGAAAACTGTACAAGCACTATAAATTACCCAGAGCTAACAAACGCTGAGCATAGCTAGGCATGATTATGATAAAAGTTTCTTACAAGGTACTCCATTGGTATATACAGGGTGTCACGAAAGGTTTGTTACAAACTTCTAGGGATGGTAGATCTTGTAAAAATAAAACTTTTTTCTTGATAAACATGTGTCCGGAAATGCTTCGTTTTCCAGATATACAGGGTGGCCCAAATTTGAGCCTCATCATTGGGATCTCGGTAACCGTAAGAGATACGGGGTCGGTTAAATTATGGCAAAATTGCGCAATTTTATGACCAATAGAATACCGTTTTGAAACTAGAAAGATTCCGAATACTTCCGGAGATATTCTTTTGAAATTTTGAAAAATCGTTTTTTTTTTCCCGGGCTTATTTGAAAAGCAATTTTAAAATAAATGTCACTTCATCATTGTCACTTCTTCCCCTTTAGAAGATGGTGATACTAAATTTGAAATTCGACGTTTCGTCTTCAGGCGGCCATCCTTAACTTACGTTTTTTAAATACGAACCTAGATTTTTTATTTGCGATTTTGTCATCTTTGGGCATCCTAAAACCGATACTGTTTATCATTTTTCAATAACACGGTAAAAAAGCAGGTCCGTATTTGAAAAACGTCGGATTTCAAATTTTATACTGCCATCTTGTAAAGAAGAGAAAGTGACAATGGGAATGTGAAATTAGTTTTTCAAAATCTTTTTAAATGAAATCAGGAAAAAATTTAAGAAAAACGAGAAATTCATGTTTTTTTCGTATAGTTTTAATTTTTTCCTGATTTTATTTAAAAAGATTGTGGAAAACTAATTTCACCTTGCCATTGTCACTTTTTCTTCTCCACAAGATGGCGATATTAAATTTAAAATCCAATGTTTCGTTCCTCTGAAATCATCATTATTTTTTTTTTAAATACGGACCTGCTTTTTTTGCTGTGTTATTGAAAAATTATAAACAGTATCGGTTTTAGGATGCGCAAAGATGACAAAATCGCAAATAAAAAATCCAGGTCCGTATTTAAAAAAAGGAAGTTGAGGATGGCCGCCTGAAGACGAAACGTCGAATTTTAAATTTAGTAGCACCATCTTCTAAAGGAGAAAAAGTGACAATGATGAAGTGACATTTATTTTAAAATTGCTTTTCAAATAAGCCCGGGAAAAAATAAAAACGATTTTACAAAATTTTGGTTTTTTCCGAATATCTCCGGAAGTATTCGAATCTTTCTGGTTTCAAAACGGTATTCTATTGGTCATAAAAATGCGCAACTTTGCCATAATTTAACCGACCCCGTATCTCTTACGGTTACCGAGATCCCAATGATGAGGCTCAAATTTGGGCCACCCTGTATATCTGGAAAACGAAGCATTTCCGGACACATGTTTATTAAGAAAAAAGTTTTATTTTTACGAGATCTACCATCCCTAGAAGTTTGTAACAAACCTTTCGTGACATCCTGTATATTTTGATAACCTTGTTCCTTGTTCAAGTAAAAAAACATACCGAAATATGTCTATGATTTTTTTTTGAGGCAATACAAGTTGATTTAGGAATATTTTATTTTGAATTTAATGTACTTAATTCCCAATAAAATTGGGAAAAGTAAACGTGCAACCTTCTACTTAGGTCTCACCGCAGCTATTTTCCAGAGGTTTCCACAATGACCGTTATTATTTCTAGATTAAAGAAAACTTCTGAAGCAAGCAAGCACTCCTCTCGGTGCTAGAAATTGTTCGTTTTTGCTTCAAATAAATGCTTACATTTTAAAATACTAAAAAAGCTCTTAGAAGGTTTGCCCTTCCGCAAGAAAATCCTTTGTACACAAAAACTTCCTCATTTAATAAAATGTTTTAAAAAGAAATTATGAAAGAGCCGGATTTCGTCACAATGATGCTTTTATTCAAAAAACTTATTTGAGCATAGAAAGGTTTGGATAATATTTTCTTAGCAGCATTTTGTTTATGTCGCTCAATTTTTTGAAAAGTTGAAAGAATAATTTAAAAATCTTGTTTGCGTCAGCATAATATACTCAGCTTGAAACTTTTGTTTCTCATTGCAATAAAAACTATAAAATATTCAGAAGCCAAAGTGCTCAATGCAGTAGGAACTTTTACGTGAATGGGAACCATGTATTTCAACAGATAAACAAATATAATAAATATTAATATATCCTATTTTGAAATACATTTTTGACTTTATTCCTAAAATCTGGAGCCGTTTTGATACCCGTTCCACTTCTATTTAATTTTATTTTCCAATTAAACTTGAATATATAAATTATCGTTAATTCTAGCAGGTGCCAGTTATAATTAAGATTCTTACCTTCTAAACCAGCAAAGGCATCTGTATCGATGGTATCTATATTGTTACCATCGATTTCTAAAGAATTCAGAAGCGTGAGATGGGAGAAGACTCTAGAAGGGACAGTTCGGAGTTTGTTGTGGGCCAAACCTAAGGAATCCAAGTTCTTAAGACCTGGAAAGAATAAAGCCCGTAATTAAAACCTTTCCCTGGGAAATCCGGAATAAAGGTATAAAGATTAACTAAGTACATCTCGCAAAAGCTATTAAACTAAGAGCTTCTATAAATTTCGAATTTAAAGTTAGCGTTGCGCTACACTAATAAATGACTTTTATTTGTCATGAACTTAGTTACCTACTTCGTGCGAGTGTATTTATCTTCTCGGATTAGTGCATGCTTTTGCTCTTGAATTGCTGTATAGCAATGTAGTAATTGCAACTAATTTTGGACATGTAATTATGAACTACTTTTTTAAAATAAATATACAGGGTGTTTGATACATCGATAGGAAGTTTTCAATGGGTGATAGTTAGGGTAATTTTGGAAGCCGTTTGACCATGTATACCCTTATGCAAAGTTTTGTTGTTTTTGAGATATCAGCATTTTTAGATATTTTTGGAAAATATTTGAATTGTTCCTTTGTTTTTTTGGTAGTAACAACAAACAATTTTTTATTCCGACGTTCCTAATATACACTCTTTCAAAACAATTCGAAAAAAAAAACCAAATGATTGATACAAAAAATATGTGACCCAAGTTATGTCTTAAAATACATGGATTCAAAATATCTAGAAATGGCTATATCTCAAAAAACGACGAAACTTTGCATGATGGTAAATATGGTCAAACAGCTTCCAAATAACCCCACCTAGCACTCATTAAAAACTTCCTATCGATGTACCAAACACCCTGTATATAAAAATTTCTTGAAAACAAAACCAGCCTGAAATAGACTAGTAGTATTTCACACTAGTTGGAATTTCTTAAGCCACTATAATGCCCGGCTTTTTAGGCTTAACTAAATCCAACTTTGAGAATTAACTTGAGATTTGAGGTTTTGACTGAACACTCTAGAGCTGCATGTGTAATCATGAGATTTGTCTTAGGCAACAACAACTAGCAACAAGAAATATGCAAAAATTAGATATTGCTTCCAAAACTGCCCATTATTAAAGTATTAAGTGATTTTTTTTATACAGGGTGGGCCAGCGAAAACGAAACAAGGTCAATATATCGTATTCATCGTTCATTGAAAAAAAATGCTTGGACCCGTCGATTTTTATTCGGAGGGGGAAATCTTTTGCACATATTTTCAATGTTGTCACGTCAACCCTCTCGCGGGGGTGAGCGCCAACCCCTAAATCTTGAATGGCAGTAGGGGTCGAGCGATACCTCGTTTCAAAGGTCCTCGAATTCTCTTTTCAATGGTGCCTAGTTTTTTGAATTTACTAAGTTTTTTTTTTTCAAAAAATATTTAAAATTAGGTTGTATTTATTTGAATTTTATTGAGTGATAAAAAAAACCTACACTTAAACCTTGTGATTTCAAGTTGGATAGCACACGACTTTAAAAAAAAGCACATAAAATCACTTCTTAAGGAAAAACTGTTATAACTACAAAATTGAAAGTGCTCAAAATGACTAAAACAGTACCAGTTCCGTCTATTTTTAAATGCGTTTTCTCGAAAACCACTGCATCAAGTTCAAAAAAATAGGCACCGTTGAAAAGAGAATTTGATGAACTTTGAAATGAGGTATTGCTCGACCTCTACTGCCATTTAAGATTTAGGGGTTGGCGCTTACGCCCGCGAGAGGGTTGAAGTGACAACATTGAAAATATGTGCAAAAGATTTCCCCCTCCGAATAAAAATCGACGGGTCCGAGCGATTTTTTTCAATGAACGATCAATACGAGATATCGACCTTGTTTCGTTTTCGCTGGCCCACCCGGTATATCTGGTACCTAGGTGGCAAATCAAGAATATTAAGACTATTTTGCGGAACATTTCAGTTGTTGTTATATCATAAAAAAATTGAGTTCTCAATTATATTCAGACAACGTATTAAACGAATAACGTGCAAATAACGAACGATGAATGACGTCATTGTCACTCTCCAGAGCTCAGACAAAGAAAGCATCAAATATGTTTGTAAGAGCCATTATAAACGATCCTTATTGGTCACTGGAAAAAACTAAGTCATACAGACACACACTGGCGCGATTCTAGTATACGTTGAAACATGTTAGTTTGGAAACATTTTTCTAAAAAAATAATTTATTAAAAAATAAGGCCAACTAGGAGCAAGGGTATTTTTATATTGGTTCATACAAATGATTAAAAATAATAATGCGATGAAATTCAAGTCCGCAGTCAAACCCTCAATGTCTGGGATCATTTTTGTAAGAGTATGGTACTTTCATTTTTTGTCGGGTAGCAATTTTAGGGCGAAAGTTCGATCGCCGATTGAACAGAAAATTTGTTGGTTTTTTAAAAAAGTTCTATCGTACTAAAGTTGATTTTTTTATTATATGTCTATTTGTTTTGCTAATAAAATAATAAAATACTCAAAAAAAAGTTAAAATAAAAAATAAAAATTAATTAAATAAATAAAATATCTCTTCTAAGACTGATACCGGATAGTCCCGATGATCGAGGCAGCATTGCCCCCTGAATAGCCAAGCTAATCAGCTGGAAAATGAAGCGCGTTGTTAATGACCTCTCGCCAGAATGTTAATTCTTGCAGAAATCTCATTAACAAGGCGCTTTTGCAGTTCTAGAAATGTAACTTTTAGCTAAGGTGTCTCGACACGTTACATCCCATATCAATTGTTTGCCTTCTCTCCAAGGGAAATATGACAAACAATCTGCTCGCTTTCCGTTACTTCTACAAACACCAATTGATTCTAGGCTATTAGGAGTATCTGCTACAATCAAAGATCTGTGCAGAATTTCGTTTATGAACCGATGTCTGGACAACCACCAGCACTTTTGGAACAGCCATGATGAACTAATTGTCCGCAAGTGCAAGTATGTTGTTCACACACCGGTTGACCTAAGCGAAGGGCAACGGGAATGCGAAAAGTGGAATCATCCAATAACGTTCCCAATGGAGGAGAAGGCCAGGCACAAAGCCACGCATTACTCTCTTGTTCTTGTAGAGCTAAAAGTCTTGCTTTTGATTTTGGATTATCAGAATTCTGAATTTTAAATTGTATTGTATTTTTACAAAAGAAAATGTCAAAATCTTTTCGAGTTTTAGGACATGGAGACGGAATAGTATTTGAATTGCAAAGATTGAGCCAATTTTTTTTAAAGCGTTCTTTAAAATGAAATAAGCCAATAATGAGAATTCAAGCTTTTTAAATTTCTACATAAATTTTCAGATTCCTAAATAATTTTTTTGAAATCTTCTAAAACTGTGTCACTCACTAGCACCCCCTAAACTACCGTCATCTAGGTACCAAGCATTAAATTCAGATTTTAAAGAATTTACTAGAGGGTAGATAATAAGGCAAAAAAGAGGTGGGTCCAATAGATCGCCCTGTTGAACTCCTCTCTGTGATGATATGCTATTTAAACCAAATGAACGAATTGAACTTTCTTTGTAACATTGACTTATGAAATTGAAAAAATTTGGAATTTAATCTTCGACTCTTCTCAGTAGGATATCTCTATGTACCATATTGAAAGCATTTTTTTCAAATCAATTTTCAAAAAAACTTTATCTGAACTTTTTTTAAAGTTAACAAAATGACGAGCCCTGTGTGAAATAGCTTCTGCGCCACATTCACGACCAAAACCAAGTGGGGGTTGAGATAAATTAGATAAAATAGGACGAATTCGAGAGCAAATAATTTTAGTAACTAAGCGTCGTAATGTGAAGCTCACACAGGGAGGCGTCAAAAAAAATTGAAGATATTTTTGGATGAATTTGTTCTTTCAAAATAAAATTGCTGAAGCGTGTAAGAGATGTAAATAGAATAGTGGAAAAACTTTCCTGCTCACCATAACTGAGATCCTTGAGATGCTGTGGTGTAAGACCATCGGGACCTCCCGAAGAGCTTAAGCCTAAAAGAGCTTATTGCGTATTTAATTTTTTTCGCAACTGACATCTTCTGGCATGATCTTTGAGGGTTCTTCTGAGAAATTTCTATCATTGTCGACTTGAGGGTGCATTTCTTGGAGTTTCACGAAATTAGAAATATTTTTTGAGGATGCAAGAGTCTCATCTGAAGAAAGTATTCTAAGTGCGCCGCTAATGTTTCCTTGAGATATTTTATTCTGAATCTTCTTTTCTAAGTTAAAATAGTTGATGTTATTTTTTGAACTTTTTGAACTGTTAGATGTTTTTCCATCAAATGACTCCAATAGTTCTGCCAGAGGAAGCAATTTTTGGTCCAAATGTTAAGGTTTTCTTTCAATTTTAAAGTGAGTGATTTTGAAAATTTGGATTTATCTAGAAGTTTCAAAACTGAATATGGAAAAAGAAAAAGCGACATCCATGCTTTAGGAGAGTTTTCTTTCTTCAGAAATGGATTTTCGGTTACCTTTTGGAATTCTGTGTAGGATAGGTATTTCCATTTTTCCATTTTCAGCCGTTTTCTATCCTTAGGATATAGGCCTCTTTCAAATTTGACCATTGTCTTCGGTTTTGCGCAACTCGGTACCAATTCAAGCCTGCAACCCTCTTTATATCGTCGTACTATCTTTGTTGGGGTCTTCCAACACTTCTCCTCTCTTCCCAAGGTCTCCATCTAGTGATATACCCGCTCCAGTTTTCTGTATGTCTGGCCACGTGTCCTGCCCATTGCCATTTTAGGGAACCAATTCTTTTTATTATATCGGAGACTTTGGTTCTTTCCCTTATCCATGTATTTGTTTTGTGGTCTCTCAGGGAAATTCCTAAAATTCGTCTTTCAATGGCTCTCTGGTGTACTTCCAATTTGTATTTAATTCTTCTGGTTATCACCCAGGTCTCGCAGCCATACGTGACAACAGGCAGTATACACTCGTTATAGACTTTTGATTTTAAAGTCATTGGAATATTCATGCTGAAGATCTACTTTAACTTGCCGTAAGCCGCCCATCCCAGTCTAATTCTCCTATCAATGTCCATTTCTTGATTTTGTTTGCCCGGTGTTATAGCTTGGCCAAGGTATATGTATGTTTCTGTT